GGGACTGTGGAGACTCTAAGAGTAATACTCACGGCTAGTACATACATGTTAGTCTATACACAAAGGAACTGTGATTGCTGAAGTTTTGTGGCTGAGGCAACAGGAAGCAAATGACATATTGCAGATTCCAGTTCATATCTATGAGTCTTACTCCTCATTCCATTAGTTCTAACTCCTTCCTTGTGGTAGCTTCCATTGTGGTAGCACATGCCTGTAATAGCCCCACTCAGGAGATCCAGGCAGGAGAATCAAGAGTTCAAGGTCACCTTCATCTACCTAGGCAATTTGAGACCAGCCTGGGATACATGAGCCCCTGTCTCAAAAACACAACAAAAAGAAATGAATGCCAGTGTTCATACCCATTCATTTCTCATCTGTGGCTGACCTAGAGGCTACAATGGTACAGTAGACAGACCCTACCGCCCACAAAGCCAAAAGTATTTACGACAGGCCCTTTCTGGAAAAGGCCTCCTGACCCCTGGTCAGCACTCCAGGATAGAAAGTTCTGTCTCTATTAGTCATTTTTTAAAGCACTTTCAGAGTTGAGCATAATGGAGACTAACATTTCCTTGGCTTCCAGTGTGGGGAGCTAGAAGTGATATACAGGTGTGTTCTTTTTAAGACTTAATGCCTACAAACTCACACTTGAAAATGGATCAATTAAAAGGTAGCTATTTGCATAACAAAGTTTCCTTTTCATTTCATAAGGGCTTCACTGCAGGGCTCCTTTGTAGAGCAAGTCTCTATAATACATGCTAATACGATTCCATTTACAAATACTCTATTCAGAATAACTTTCTAAGAACCTTCCTATTGTGTACAGTGGGAATTAGCTGTAATCATCCCCATGGCCCACAGCAACATAAGGTTTCCTACTTCTGAAAAGTAATTGAGCTGACCTTTGAGTGTCTCCAAGAGGGGCTTTATCTGCTTGCTCTTAGTCTTCTACATGTAATTCCAGCCTTTAGAAGGCTGGGGCAGGAGCATTGCTTGGGCCCAGGTGTTCCAGGCCAGTCTGATAACACAGCAAGACTTCAGTGACCTTATCTCAACATAACAATGACAGTGTAGAGGCTGTGACCTCCAAGTGTCTATATTATGTAGCATGAGGGGTATCATTTTACAGTTTTTCAAGCGTTTCTTTAAAACCCTGAACCCAAAATTCAAAATGGTAAACTTTACTTTACACTCTTCTCTCTTCCTACACAAATAAATGAATTAAAACTACATTTGTGGCTAATGTTCTGATAAATATGTGATCAGCAGTATTTATAAAAGCAATCTCTCTCTCTTTCTCTCTTTCTCTCTCTAATTGCAAGACATTATGCTGTCTGAATTACAACACAAACTGGGACAGGCATTCAGATTAGAGCTGTCCCTAGCAAAATAGGAAGTGGTGTGACTGATTCAATTTAGGACCCGGCTTTCTCTTCTGTTGGGTCCTGAGCCTGAGTCTTGCTTAGCTTTGTGCTGTTATGCAATTGCTCCTTTTAAGAGAGACATAAAATGGAAGCCTTGGCTATTCATAGCCAACTTAGGAGGAGCTGAAATTGTTCAAGAAGTTTCTTGCCTGCTGCCATTTTGATGATAACTAGTTTTCTGAAACTGGCTTCTAAATGGAGTTGTTAAAGAACTGCCTCGTGCCTTTTGTTCTTATCTTGTGGTGATGATGTTTTAAAAGTAGACAAATGTTCCTTGTATATAACTTGAATATTTTCCAGGGTGATTTTTTCCCCCCTAGTAAAAGCAGATTACAAGGAAATTCAAGGGCAGAGAAGATCAGCCCAGGCAGGCATTCCTGTGTGGGTCACCCTGTGGTGAGGCTGATCTCTGTGTCAGGGCTGCTAATGGATTATGTGTGAGAGAACCGCAAAGGGCCTGTGGGAAGCAGACCTGGCATTAGAGCCCCACAAATGGCATCATCTGTGGGGTTCGGCTTGAGGGAAGGCTGCTGCAGGCGGCTGGCTATCCCTGGAGGCTGCAGCTTGCTTCTCATGCTGTGTGGCAGGTGGCAATTCAGCCATTTCTAAAGCTGGTCCCTGGCAGGGAACTTACATTGAGTCCGTCTGTGGGATGGAGGAGTCTGGAAAGGGGCCTGTCTGTCTGTCTACCTCTCCCAGAGGTCAGGAGCACTGAAAATACAAATAATAGCATGAAGGCATTTTTAAATCCAGGTTGTGATCTCCCACCCCTTCCCTTCCTTCTTCCTTCATTCCGTTCATTGCACTATCCAATTTTTAATCATATATATATATAATATATATATATATATATATTATATATAAAGCAAATCAATATTTACTGAATAAGCTGTATTGATAGTTCAATTTTCTTCTTCCCTAGTGGCCTAGTGGTCCCATTAAACTTTTTCAAACCAACCGACACTAATGAATATAGAAGAACCAAGGCCTAAAGGTCCATGTCTGAAGATGACATAATATTGTTCTCTCCTTCAAGAGAGATGGGAGGGTGTGCAGAGCCCCTTGACCCCAACCAAAGCGCTCCTCCCCACCTTAAGCATTCCCTCTTACCAAAGAGCAACAACAGATTTTATTTCACAAATGGAAATGGGAGTGGATCTCACGAGGAGCAGGCTGGTTTAATTGGCTTTTCAGAGCCAGAATTAATATTACAAGCTGGGCAGCTGTGTGATATGCTTGTACCTCTGGCTCCACCACACTGCCAACCTTCCCTGGGGGAAGACAGAAAAGTGACACTATTCAGTAGCAATTTTACTTCTGTCTGGGCCTTCTCACCCTAGTGATTTACAGCTGTCAGGAACCCAGCACTCAGGCTTGATCTTCCCAAGCTCAAGGTCACACCTACAGCATGCTTTTCTCACCTCTCATCTACAGTGACTTTCTAATGTATTTAGCATTTGCCTCCCCCCCGTGTTTTCATTCTACTTATTAAGATACATTTTCAGGGAACTGGGATCATGGTTTTCAGGACCACCCACCTGACACCTGATCTCTTGAGGTGACCAGTGTCTACTGTGGATACCATGAGGGTGACCCACAAAAGTCCCATCCCCATGCAAACCAGAAGCAAGGCTTTAATTAGGAAAGGTTTGATAGGAAGGTAATGGAGTCAATCGATGCAGAAAAAAGCCTTTAGCCTTAAGGAAGAAGGCTCAGTGGGTTGACCTAGGCCACCAAAGTATCTATGTTGCCACTGTGTGGTGATCAGTTGTGACTGGAAGGAGAACACAGAGTGGAAAACTACATTTTATTTGGCTCCTGGGTGATGCTCCCCTCTCTCTTTGTCTTTGGAGATTGGTAATAGTCATCTCACACATTGCCTTCAGGAGAAACAAAGCCGATGTGAAAAGTCAGCATCCTGGTCCCCTCCCTATCACCCTGCCACAGCCAGCTCTAATCCGCCAAGGGCTCCCTGCTGTGCCCTGCCACCTCCTTGATGTCCCCAGATCTTGTTGAGGGGGATAGAAGTTTCTGAGAGAAGTATTTGCAGCTCCAGTTTCCTGGTCACTGAGAGCCCACTAGGTCTGAGGGTTAACTTATTAACTCACCCAAAGGGCTTGAGAATTAGTGAAATTTTGTAGCGTATCAACGCCTAACCACAGCTTTCCAGACAGCTGCCCCGACAGTAAGCTGTCTTAGCGGAGGATCAGAGAGTGTGACAGTTCTGCTGATTAAGTGCTACAGTCAGTGAGAATAGTTTTCAGAAGACAGGCGACATTGTCTTTTTTTTTTTTTTTTTTTTTCTACTTCAGGCTGCCTCAGCTGGGGAGAGATTTGTCCCATAAAATTAGGATTATCATTATTATCTCACTACAGATACATGTAGCTCAGGCTGACCTCCAATTCACTATGTAGCCAAGGATGACCTTGAATTTCTCATCCTCCTGCCTCTACCTCCTGAGTGCTGGGAATACAAAGGTGTATTGTCATAACTGGTTTATGTGATGCTGGGGATTGAATTTCTTATGCATGCTAGGCAAGTACTCTATCAACCACCTCTCTAGCCAATAAAATTATTTTAAAACATACTCATAGGACTGAGAAATGGCTCAGTGGTTAAGAGAACTGACCTGAGTTCAATCCCCAGCACCCACATAGCAGTTTACAACTGTCTGTAACTCCAGTCCCAGGGGATCCAAAACCCATACATGGACAGGGAAAACACCAGTGCACATAAAATAAAAATAAATAAGTAATTTAAAACCACAAATACTCTCTAGCTGTATTGTGTACCATATTTGCAACTATTATTTAACTCCATTTCACAACTTGATTCACTGAATATTAACATTTTCATTCTAACGATGAGGAAATAGATTCCTAGGGGTTTAGTTACTTGGCCAAGATCACACTAACACACACACACACACACACACACACACACACACACACACACACCTTGGGTTACATCACGATGTTAAGATAAGCTATCAGACAGACTTGAGTTTCCCAGCTCAAAAACTGAAATTTATCCTACTGTCAAACAAACTGGGCAGAAGGATGCTGAGTTCCCCATCGGCCAATACTGTCTAATTCTCTTAAATGATTCAGATGTAAAAGGGAAAATGGCATCTGTCTAATTAACACTGCCTGGTTAAATATAGCTGCCAAGGGACAGCGTTTACCGAGCAGTCTTTCCAGACCCCTGGGCCTCAAGTTCCAGTTGATAGCAAGCCTTCTATCCTTATCAGTGAGAAACAGAGATGCCCCCTAGAAGCAGCAGGCTAAAGGGAGCTGGAGGGAGAGGGACTGGGCTGTCACTGGCTGTAGTTCCTTCTTCTGGTATCTAGAGGTTCAGAGAATGATTCTGGGAACCCAATCAGGAAGGCTGCAGCAGCTCTTGCTACAAACATGAGCTCTGGCCCTACATGGGCCTCTCAACTTCCTGAGCCTAGCTCTCCAGCCTGCAGACATTCACTGGCCATCCTCCTGCCCACTGCTGAGCCTGCCAGGCAGTACCATCTGCTTTGCAACCCATCCCGGTGGAAAGGCACAATGACCACATTGTTTCTCTTCCAGCTTCTTGTAAAGACATGGAGGCTATTGCCAAGTTTGATTTCATGGCCTCCGGTGAGGATGAACTGAGCTTTCACACTGGAGACATTCTGAAGGTAGGTGATGTGGGGTTCCAGGGGAACTGTAAGGGACTAAGATTCCCTGAGCCTGGCTACTGAGGTCACCAAACAACTTATGCTTTTGTCTCTGAGAGAATGTGTACAGTTCTTTTTTTTTTTTTTTTTTTTTTTTTTTTTTTCTCTTAATGGTTTCTTTAAAGAGAGTTTAAAAACCAGGTGTGAGAACATACCTATAATCCTAGTACTCAGGAGGTGGAGACAGGAGGATTAGGAATTTAAGGCCAGCTTTGGCCACATTGTGAGTTTGAGGTCAGTCTGGGCTGAGACCCTATCTCAAAACAAAAACAAAACAGAGAGGAAGAGAGGGAGAAGTCTCCAAGTTTATTTCTAGGGTCACCTACTCACCACCCATGTGTAGATAAATGCTACAGTTTTTTAGCCAATAGCAAGTCTTATCCCATTAGTACTGCCTTGAAGACATACAGAGGAACAAGGAGACATGTGTAGGACCTTTGCTATAGAGGACACAAGTGTTAAGTCCCTCATCACAATAGCATCCCAGATTCCTGTTGGGCAAACAAAAGAGTCATTGTGTATATGTGCATGTGTGTGTGTGTGTGTGTGTGTGTGTGTGTGTGCATGCTCATGTACATGTATGCACGTAGGTGTAGAGTCCAGAAGTTGACATCAGGTGTCTTTCTCCTTTGCTCTCCACCTTAATCTTTTGAAGCAGGATCTCTGGAACTCATTAATTTGGCTTGGGCAAGCTGATCAGTGAGTTTCAGGGATCCACCTATCTCTACCCTCCCTGTTCTAGGATTGTAGACACATGCTTCTGCACGCAGATTTTTTTTTTTTTTTTTTTTGGTGAGTCCTAAAGATCTCAACTTGGGACCTTATGCTTGCCTGAACCCTCTTCCAGCTCCAGGGCAGCCATTCTTAAGAAGCCTTGCTTTTGAATATAGCCTAGTGCAGTTCCACAAAAAGGCAAGTTCACATCCCCACCATAGAGCATTCCTTCTGGGCACCTATGTGCTAGACACTGGGTTAGGTGGCAGGAATTCAGAGTTGGCATGAGTCACCCTCCTTTTCCCGCCATGTTTGTGGCATAAGTCGTCCTCCTTCTCCCACCATGACTGTGGTAAGGAATGGGCAACCCAAGCCTCTAATGGGCTATCATAGCTGCTGTCAGCTCAGGGCTCAGGAACACAGGTGGGGAATGTGAGGTTCCACCTTGAAGGGTAGATTGTATGAAAGAATGGTAATGTGATCATCAGGAGCTATCAAACCCATAGATATGCAGGGTCAGGCTTCAAATGAAAAGGGTGCAGGTGCAGGTAGCCAGGGAAAGGCAGCAGACCTGAAGTGACTCCACAGAGGCCATGCACATCCAGCCACTAAGAGGCTCCTTAAAACCCTGCTTGAGTTGTAGTGGCCACTTAGAGAGCTAAAGTGACCTTGGACTTGTGCATTTCAGAAGTCCATCTACGTACTCCCTTGTGACTCACAAAAGAATATAAGCCTGTCCATAGGATATTTGGGATCATGTGGCGACAGTGTACCCATCTGACCTCAGGTCATTCTCCAAGAGCATCCCTCAGCTCTTGACCTCAGCCGTTCAGGTGGACCTCTCACATGTCTGTTGTCACCAAGGCCACTTTTGTATCTTGCCATAGAGAATTATGGACTATACAAAGGCCCTTGTTGGAGTGTTAGAGGGTAGCTTAGAAAGTATTCATAGAGCACATACATGTAAATAGATGACTTCATTTGTCATGTAACCCCCACCCCCACCTCCCGCACCCAGCTTGAAAGATCTAGTGATGTGGTTGACCCCATAGTGTCCCAAGTTTAAAATTTTATAAGCCAAAATGTGTCTAGGCTACTGATTGAGGAAAAGGTGGCTTTTACTGAAATCACAGAGACACTTGCTATGTGATGAAAAGCCCCTCCCTCCCACCTCCTCTCCCTTCCTCCTCTATGGGGCCCACTTGATCACACACAGAACCCAATGCCTTGCTCAAGCTCCCCTGCCATCTTCTTTATACGGAAGAGTGGAAGAAAAGACAAGTAAATGGACACCCCCTCCGCTCTGCTTCCCAGTCTGGCTCCTTATTCATTTCTTCTCCTCTGTTGCTCAGATGGAAACAGTTCTCTGAACTGGATGCCCTCCACTTTCTCTCTTTGCTCCAAGGCCCTTTGAAATATGCTTCCTGTTGCTGTAATAAACACCATGACCAAAAGCAACTTGGGGAGAAAAGGGTTTGTTTGGTTTATATTTCCATATCAAAGTCCATCACTAAGCAAAGTCAGGACAGGAACTAGGTAGGAACTGAAACACAGACCATGGGGGAATACTGCTTTGTTTGTTTGTTTTGTTTTGTTGAGACAGGGTTTCACTGTCAGCTCTGATTGTTCTGGAACTTGATTTGTAGACCAGGCTGGCCTCATCCTCCTGCCTCTGCCTCCCAAGTACCAAGATTAAAGGCTTATGCCACCACTGCCCAGCAAAATACTGCTTTCTGATTCAAGGCTTACTCAGCTACCTTTGTTATATAACTCACTTGCCCAGGGATGGCACTGCCCCCCTTGGGCTGGATCCCCCCACATCAATCATTAATGGAGAAAATGCCCTACAGACTTGCCTATGGGCCAATCTGTTGGAGACAGTTTCTCAATTTACATTCCCTCTTCCCAGAGGACGATAACTTGTGTTAAGTAAAAAACAAAACAAAAAACTACCCAGCCCATGCCACAACCTCCTTCATGTGACTAGATGTTCTTCCAAGACACCTATGAAATGAGACCCTACTGGCTATCCCTCTCCTGGAGTTCATTCCCTTGCTCAGTGGCACTCCTATCTCACTTACACTCTCTCCCTCTCCCCCTCCCCCTCCCTTTCCTGAGTTCTCCTATGGGTCTTGTTTGTGAGCACACTCGTCTTCTTGACAAGCTGATACATTCACCTCCCTGAAGCTCTGAGCTTGTCCTTCAGATTCTCCTTCTTCTTTGAAGTACCTCACCTCCCTTTCTAGTTCTATGGTAAAGACCCTCCAGTCTGTACCTTCCTCCCTCAACTGACCTCCACCTTGAATCCCAGAACCAGTTTTCTCTAGACTCCAGCCCCTAACACCAGGCTCACACAATCCCCTATACCCACCTAACCCCAACTTCCATCCAAGCTATTCCTCTGTGTGTGATCAAAGTGCCATCAATGGTCAGTCACTACACAACTCTCTTGTCAAATCTGGGGTGATCAGGACTGCCTCCAGCTAATTTCCTGTTGCAAGCTAGGACTGGCACAGTGGCTGCATGTACCACTGTTGCATCTCAACAAAACTAGGAGGTTGCTTTCTCCACTCTGTAAACGTGAAACTGAGGCAGAGAAATTAAACCACATGTCAAGATCACCCAGGCAGACAGTGATTGAGAGCTCTGGGAGGAGCTCTGTCTATTCCCTATGCACTATGTCTGTTCTAAATACATTTCTTTCTCCAAGTCCCCCAAGGGAGGCTCTTCTCCATTAGTTAAAAAAAAAAGTGTTATGCTGAAAAAAAGAACACAGACTTTGTAACCATATAAATATGGATTCAATTCCCAGCCTGTGAGTAGCATGGCTTGGGCCTAGGCACCTGCCAGTTTGAGCATCAATGTTGCCTCTATCTACGGAGGCATTACCTATCCTGCAGAGTCCAGGAAAGTAATTAAAGGTATTGGCCCTGACCCAAAGCAGATACTGAGCAAGCAGTGGCTGTATTGTCATCAATACATGCCTTCCTGTTCTTTCTGCCTGCTCAGAGGATCTCATACAGCCCCCTTGACTGACCTCATTGCCTCCTGTCTCTTCCTCATTCAATCATTCTACATACAGGTCCCAGAAGGACTTTTCTAGAAGACAAATTAGATTGTATCATTTCCTTGTTCAAAAGTACTCAGGGGTTTCTATTAACGACTGATTGAAATCTAAACCATTTAACTCCAACACACTTTCCAGTCTCACCCTTACATGTAGGCCCATGTGTGCACATATACACACAGCACACATCTTAGAGAACACACTTCCCTTGCCCCCTCATAGTATACCTCCTCCTATCTCAGACACCCCCTCATTCTCCAAGTGTCCATTTATATATGTTTCCAGAGACCCCCTCTCACTGATCCTCTCATTCCTTACCCTCTTCTTGCCTCAAGCAGGATGTACTTCCATGGCCATCTCACACTACTTCCGTTACTTACTGCATGTGGTCTTAGTTGTCCACTTCCCTGTTAGCTACCCCACTAGCCAAAGTTTTGTAGGGATGAGGGTCATACATACTTCAGCATCTCTAGGAGCAGAAGGATACTTCTTACTAATGTTGAGTGAGTGAATGAATGAATGAATGGGTTCTTCCATGGGTGAGCTCCCTGAGAGCAGAAAGACCCTGGCTCAGCTTTGTGGCTTCTCAGCATTTAGCATGAGTCACATCCCCAAACAGGGACCCAGTGCGAGACCCAGGGACCTGGAAAATGGCACATCTATGTGGCCACTTAGAATTCCATCAAAAAGCCAACCCTACCCACCTTTTCAGATTCTGCCTGTTGCAGTTGTAGTGGTAAAGAACAGACCCACAGAGAGCCCAGGACAGAGCTCTCATTTTGAATGATGACCACGTGGTCCTTAGTGATGTGTCAGTCACTTCCATCCTGAGGCAGAAAACACACCCAGGGATACTGCAAGCCATTTCAAGGCCAGCTCTTGAGAGCCCTAGAAATTCAGTTTGAGGTGCTCAAGTTTTTTGGTTAGCCTTTGGTGCCTAAGAATAAACAGACTTTTTCATTAGAGAAGTACAAAACAGTGTCTAGCTGGTGTACTGGCTTGAGGTTCGCTCCAGTTTATTCTCTGCATTCCTGGCTAATTCAGTAGGTGCTTACTAAGTGCTGATCTCTGTGGAATGGTAGAAAAGATGGTGAATGAGGAAGGAACCTCTGCAGAGTAGCTTGCTTGATCCATGTTCTTTCAGGAAATACACAGTTGGAAAGGACATTGGGAATCACACTTTTTATGTTCATACCTGTAGCTATGCAGGGCAGAGATCTTCACTGGAATTTGGAATTTGCCAGCGGTTTTGAAAATTGGCTTTTGACCCAGTTTGTTCCTACCTGTTTCTGTAATGTGTCCAAGCCGACCCCATTTCTTCCTACTAAGAGAGGCCTAAAAGCACAGGCTTAATCCTACACAATTAACTTCCTCTGTGCTTCAGCTTTCCACTGTGCCTCTAAGAGCTCTACTTCCATCCAATTTTACATTTTTTCCCAGCTGTACTTTTGGCCTTTCTCTTCCCACATCTAGCTTATTCTCAGGCCATGTAACCTAGAAAATTATTCTTGTAAGGAACATTTTTAAAAAGCCAGTACAGCAATTTAAGTGTAGAACTTCAAGGTTTCCGCTGAACTCTTTGCTCAGGTTTACATGGTAGGTACAAGAGATAGGGAGAACTGAATCAATGGAGAGATGAGAACAGGGAGCTTTGGAGTTCAGGGCCCACAACAGCCTGAGGAAGCCACCACCTCTCAAAAAAAAAAAAAAAAAAAAAAACAAAAACCCCACCACTTTTCTTTGCAGAAAATGAGATTTAAAACAACTTCTATACACTATGAAATGCCTCTCTGGAAACACAACCTCAGGCAGACCAAGCCCCAGGTGGTGGAGACAAATGAATGGCTGGCTGTCAGGGACAATCTTTAGCTTCTAGAGGAGGTATATGAGTACTAGACATGATTACTCAGATTTTAGCTTGTTTCAGGTCAGAGAGCAAAGTATAGAGTGTGATTTGTACTGTGATAAGCCAATTTCCAAATGGCGTCTTTCACCTCATCTCTGCTCACTTTGGATTTGACATTGGTTACCCTGGTCAAACCATCTCCCTTCTCTCTCTCTCTCTCTCTCTCTCTCTCTCTCTCTCTCTCTCTCTCTCTCTCACACACACACACACACACACACACACACACACACACTGCCTCCCCCAGATCCCTTGTGATAGGAGAAACAAATTCCAAAGCTGTCAATTCAGGAGCAGTTCATGGAGGGAAATATTCTTTTGCTTTTTTAGTAGATGCCACTGCTGAGTTTCCTTGCCTTCCCCTGACCTAGATTGTGTGCATCCCTCCCCCTCACTCCCCTCGGCATACACAGACCCACACCCATCCTCAGCAAAGCTAAGAGCCATTTGATGTTAGAAAGTTTTCTGTTCTCAGCAATTCTCGAGCTCAAATATGGGATATGTTTTTACTGCTATAGAACAAATTATTACAGTGCAAATATTCATGTACAATGCTTTCGAGAATTCAAACCCTTCCATGTCTTTCAGAATTGAAGTCCTCATTCATAAAGATATATTTAAAAAAAAAGAATGTATACCAGCCTGGTGGTGGTGGCAGTGGCGGTGGTGCCTGCCTTTGATCCTAAGACTCAGGAGGCAGAGGCAGGCAGATCTCTGAGTTCAAGGCCAGCCTGGTCTACAGAGCAAGTTTCAGGGCAGTCAGGGCTGCACAGAAACACTGTCTTGAAACAAACAAACAACAACAGAACATATACCTTCAGAAGGGCGGTTATGTGCCAGAGCTCTGTCTATACTCACTCACCTCAGCTCTGTGGGGCTCAAGCGGGTTGTTATTTACCCCCACTCTTCAAATGGCTGATTGATTTGTCCTGTGTCACACAGAACTCAAGCTAGAAACCAGGTTTTCTTCTTCCAAACTTGAAGGCACTATCCCTTTTCTTCCCTCTCAATGATGATGTTAAAAGTAATGCCAGGCATGATGGTGCACACTTTGAAACCCAGCTCTTGAGAGGCAAAGGCAAGCTGATCTCTGTGAGTTCAAGACCAGCCTGGTCCCCATAGTAAATTCCAGAGCATCCAGAGCTACATAGTGAGGCTGTGTCTCTAAAGAGAAAAATAAAATAAGTAGAGCCTAGGCCTGAGGGAGGTAGAGAGTTTACCTAGTATGCAGAGAGCCCTGGGGATTGTTCCCAGCAGAGCATAAGCATAAAGTATGGTGGTGTTTGCCTGTAATCTCAAAACTCCAAGGATAGAGGCAGGAAGATTTGTAACTCATGACCAACTTCAGCTGTATAGGGATTTGGAGGCCAGCCTAGGCTATATGAAACCCTGTCAACGAAAGCAAGGAAGGAAGGGAGAGAGGGAGAGAGGGAGGGAGGGAGGGCTGGCTTTTGCTGTGGGAGAGAGAAATCCAAGGCACCCAGGACTTCCACTCCTACCCCTTCTGGATGACTCTTGGAAACCCCAGTCACCAGCTCTTGGCTGTCTCATACGTCCAACACATACATCCACAGCCCACTGAGTGTTTCTTCTCAGTTGAAGAATTCAACTGGAATTTACCTGCTACAAGCAGAAGCCCACAAGTCCTTCCTGCTTCTCCTTCTCCTCTCTGTTTCAGTAAAGACATCACCACCCACTCAGTCTCCCCAGCTAGAAATCCAAAGTTTTCCCAGAATCCCCTTCTCCCCCAGCTACCCCAAATGGTTACAAAATCATGCTTGATTTTACTTCCTAGAATCCTCTGAACTAGGACCTTGCCTCTTCTTAGCTCAGACCCCATTAACCATGACCTGTTGGGTGACACCCATCTTCCTTCTGTTCTTCCCTGGTTTTACCCCACCCCCAGCTTGTCTTCAAAGCTCCTTCTACACTCTCATTCTTACTGTCATTTCCTAGCTCAAAATCTTTTCTGAAGATAAAACTCCAGAATCTTCAGCCACGGGCCACAAGGACCTGTACTTCTAACTTCCCCAGCTAAACCCCTGATAGAATGAAGACCTTGAACTCCAAGGACATAGCACAGAGTGGTTCCTCAGTCATCACATTTGACCCAGTTAGCTCATGGCATTGTCTGGAGAGGTCTCCAGGCAGCCTTTCACAGCTTTCCTCTGTTCCCCCTCCCGGCCCCAGCATCTCCACCCATCTAAACATCTCCAGCTACAAGAAAGAGAAACAACTTCCTAAGCAATAGCAAAAAGTTCATGTTCCTCCAAGCCCAGAAATGGGTGAGGGACTGTTGGAAAGATTCCAGGGACTTGGTGACACGATCACAGGTTTCCCAGTCTCTTATTCGGCCACCCTTGAATAGAGTCATTGTTCCAGTCTAGGCCCACATCCTTTAGAAACATTCTCAGTGGAGATAGCAAATACTTTCGAAGGTCTCTTGTTTTCTGAAATCAATGAATACACATGCAGTCATGTCTGCTGAGTAATGTGAGGGACCAAGGAAGGTGACCACATATGGGTAGCACTCAAGGAGGGTCCTGTAGTAATGCAACAGAACTTCTGGTTTTGTTTGGGATCTGACTTTAAGTTTATAGATGGCATCTCCAAAGTGTCTCTGTAGAGAGCCCCCTTCCCACTCAAGTTCTCACTCTGCAGCCTAGAATTCACTACTATATAGCTCAGGCTTGCCTCCAACTGACAGAAATCCTCCTGCCTCACCTTCCTGAGTGTTGCAATGACAGGCACAAGACACCAGACTTGTACTGTCATCCCAAGTAGTTTGAACCCTATCCCAACCATTTTCAAAATTCAAAATAGAATATAAACATTATAGTTTATAAAGCTGGTCTTACTTAGGTATCTAAGTTATAATCTCTGTGTTTAAAAATAAATTTTTGTCAGGCATAGTGATCTACCTCTATAATCCTAGTACTTGGGAGGGAAAAGCAGGAAGATCGAGACTTCAAAGCCTTCTGTATAGTTACTGCCAGGCCAGCTCGAGCTACATGTGAACTTGTCTCAAAAAAAAAAAAATTAACTAATGAATTAAAGGCTGATGAGACAGCTCAGTAAGTGACTTTGACCCTGGGACCCACAACCACCAAAAGTTGTCCTCAGACCACCACTGGATATGTTGTGGTACATTTGTCTGTATGCACAAATGTGTGTATGCATGTAAATAAATAATATAAATCCTAAAATTGTAAGAAGGGATTCAGGGCATGTCTGAGTGCTAGGTCTGAGCTATGGTGGGGTGACATGAGCAGGTGGCCTGGAGTGGAGAAAAATAATGGTGTAAAAAGAAGCCAAACATCGGAGAGTTAGTCCCTTATTCCCCACTAAGCCCTAGAGCTGGTATCCCATCCCTAAGCTCATTTCCTCTCTGTCCTACAGCCCCTTCCTGCTGCTCTGTGTCCTCTCATCAGAGTTATTGTCCTTTGTTCTCCCCCCCCCCCCAGATACTAAGCAATCAAGAGGAGTGGCTCAAGGCGGAGCTTGGAAGCCAAGAAGGATATGTGCCTAAGAATTTTATAGATATTGAGTTTCCTGAGTAAGTATTTCCAGCCTGCCAAGATGGGTCTACCCACTCATGCTCCCCTTACTTTTTCAGTCATCACTAAAATTATCCATGCATACCCAAGGAACTGTCAGAAATGGCTGCCTCTGGAGATCTCCCTCCCCAGCCTCCAGAACCTGACAGCGGAAGGCTAGGGTGGGAGGAAGATTTATTTGCATAGCATCACATTCCCTTCTGAAGTTTACACCGTGTGCATGGATCGCCTATTTAAAAATTTTTATATAAAAAAATGAGCTTGTAAGTTAAAATCATCTATAATGAATGCTGTTGCAGAATCTCTAAGAGTTCCAAAGGGGGCGCTGTCGGACATCCCATTTCAAAAGCCATTCCTGTGTAATTCTTCTCCATGACTGCCTAACATTGCCTTGCTTTCCACCCTAAGCAGGGATCCAAACTGTCTCTACTTGCTCACCTTAGTCAGCGAGAGGGGAGGGGGAAGGGAAATTCCCTCCAGAAAGAGGAAGTGAAACACTGAGATTGGGCTGTGTTTGTCTCAAGAATTGACCACAAGGGTTAGATAGAAATCTAATCTTGTCTCCGAGCCAGGGTCTAGCACCCAAAGTATAGGCTTTATTAAAAAAGAAAGAAAATCTTAGTAGTATTGATGACTCTAATGAGGGTAGTGGTGTCACTTTCCAGGACCCAGAAGAGACCACTGAACCAAAAGGTTGACCACTGACCTCCAATGGACCCTTAGTGCTGCTACAATCTGCTAAGTGGCCACTTCATGCTAGCCACTCTCCCACCTACCTCTCAGCCCACCCTCCTCCCAGGTGTACGGGGGTGGGGGGAGGACAAGGCAAAGCACCAGAAGAGAAGCTCCTTGATTCCCTCCCTCAGGCCACTTCCACTGTAGGCAACCACATTCAGACACAGCTGTCAGTGCTTCCAGCAGACACCCCTTTCCCCCATCTATTTTCTGTCTCTCTGCTGGAGCATTCCTGTCAGCTAACAGGCTTGCCGCAATCGCGCACACATCCTTGGCCAGATAAACATACAAGAAACAAAATCAAGAAACTGCTGGTTCCAGCTACTTTCGGTTTTCCTTTCACTTCTTAAAAAGTGTTTGTGTTCCCTATTTTCAACCCCACACGCCCATTCGCCCATTCCCTGTGGAACCCCCAGGACTCCTGTCAACCACATCCCAGCCAGCTACAGATTGCTGCAGCACCTTCCCAACTATCATCTCAGCATATTAGGACCGGGTTCCCACCAGAGCATGTTCTGTGAAATCCACAATGCCTCTTGCTCTGGCCCCCTCCTCTTGGTCCTCCAGTGCCATAGCTACTTCTCAGTTTCCATTGCTAGGTCCTCCTCACATGATCACCCCACCCCCACTTCTCCAGTAAGTCTTTCTTATTGCCATTTTGTGTGTGTGTGTGTGTGTGTGTGTGTGTGTGTGTGTGTGTGTGTGTGATTATGGATGCATGTGCAGACCAGAGGACAACCTCATGTGTCACCTGTAGGAATATCACCCACCTCTTTTGAGACAGGTTCTTTCACTGGCTTGGAACAATCTAGTTAGGTTAGGCTGGCTAGCCTGTGAGCCCCAGGGATCTTGTGTTGGCCTCCCAAATTCTGGAATTACAGGTGCATACCACTAAGCTGGGCTTTGGCATGGATGCTGGGGATCAAACTCAGGTTGTCCTGCTTTCAAAGCAAGTACTTTGTTGATGGAGTCATTTCCCCGACTTCCCAACCCACAATTCTGTCCACATTGTTTCCATTTCCTCTCCTAGTTCTTAATCCCCTAGCATGCTATTTTGATTATTCTGTTGTTTATCCTGTGTCTCCTGAGCCACCTAGAATGTCAGTTCCCTGAGAGTGAAGTCGCTTGTCTGTTCTGTTCACCACTATTTTCTTAGCACCAAGAAAATGGTCCCGTGAGTTCAGAGATGATCAATAAAAGCTGTCAGATCCAGCCAAAGTGAGAGCCATTTGTAATCCCAGCACTTGGAGTTAGAGGAAGGAAAATCAGAAGTTCAAGACCAGCCTATAATATGTAACAAGTTTGAAGTCAGTCTGGGCTACATGAAACCCCAACTCAAAAAAAAAAAAAAAAAAAAAAAAAAAAAAAAAAAACGAAAAACCAAAATGATAGGTTTGTCATGGTGGCACACACTGTTGATTCTGGGCAGAACTCTGTAAGTTTGAAGCCAGCTTAGTCTACACAGTGAATTCCAGGATATCCAGGGTTGTAATAAATTAACTATTTCAAACAAAAAATATCAAAAATGTCAAATAAGTGAAAGAGTACCTTTTGAATAACAAGCAAGTTTGAAACTTTGACCTCCTGTGTCTGATACAAAATGTATGGAAAATTTTGGAAGTCTTAAAAAAAAAAAATCCCATGCTCAATTCTAACTAGAGAACATAGATTTTTAAAACATCCCTACCTGCCTGTTGCCTCTGCTAAAGATTTTCCTTTGCTCTATGGCTGCACTACCTCCTACTCCTGTTAGGTTTTCTACCTGTGGCAATCATTCATTTGGCCCTGAAGAAATAGAAGACACTAGAAACCCCAGGTTCCAGGCCCTCTGGCCATTACAAGCCTTCTGCTGTCTCCCAGGTCTGGAGTAAGAGTGCCCCTCCTATTACCTGAGTCTGGAGTGGAGGATCTCAGAATCTAGAAAACACAAAGGAGTCTGAAGCTGGGGCCTACCATGCATTTGTCCTAAAGGGACTTGGATATTAATTAGGCTCTGCTGGCAGCAATTAGAACAAAGCCACCTAGAAGCAATGTGATGGGGTCCTGCCTCTGGCAGCTATGATGGAAACCCTCATTCTAGGTTGGAGAGGAGATTGTGGTCTCCTGCCAGAAGCTGCAGCCACTGCTACCCTTACCTGGTGTGTTTTATTTCTTTTTAAACATTCCAGCCACTGCCACCCTGACTGTGCTCTGGAAAATTTGATTTCTCTTCCATTTCTGTTTCCTCTGTAAAGACATTTCCAGCCTGGATTCGTGTAGGGAATTACCTCAGAGCACAGGGAATGGCTCACCAAAGAGTCAGAGAAGCTGGCTGGAGATGTTGCTGTTAGACTTTCTCATCTCCTTAATACTTGGCAGTCTCTGCTAGACACAGCAATTAAAGCCCCCGAGGTTCCCATATTAGCCAATAGAACCTGATCCCCTGAGCTGGAACTGTCCTGGGGGAAATGTGCCCTGCCACTGACATCTCAGGAAGGGAATGGGTGCCCAGGCCTTGCCTACCAGCTTGGCCAGGAGCTCCTCCTCCATTCCTGCAGCATCCCCTTTCTGCCCCATACATTCTCTCTCTTCTGTCCCTTCCTAGGGCAGGTGGCTGCATCCCGCTGGGAGTCACTCCCATATAGTCCTGTTTTCAAGTTTCACAAGCTAGAGAGAAATTTCTGGTGGGAAGGAACAAGGAGAACAAGTCCAGAGGAGTGGTCCATTGCTTCCCTGAAAGCTGATGAGTGCCCATCACTTGGTTTTAGAATGCATACCCCAAACTCTGACTCAGGGCCCTGGCCTCCTCTCTTGAGTCACCTCTTTTCCATGCCCCTTTTCCCTCCCTCCCACCATCATGTGTCTCAAAAACTCTTTTTCTCTCTTGCTATAGGTGGTTTCATGAAGGCCTCTCTCGACATCAAGCAGAGAACCTACTCATGGGCAAGGAAATTGGGTTCTTCATCATCAGGGCCAGCCAGAGCTCCCCAGGAGACTTCTCCATATCTGTCAGGTACCAGCTACTCCCAAACCCACCTTGACCCTTCTCAGCCTGCCACTGCTGAAGTTGGGAGGTTCCCCAGTGATCAAAAGCATGACAGCACCTCTTTAACTATGCTATTTCCTCCCCAGAACATGTATCCTCAGCTCCTCCATACATTTATTTCTGTTCAAAATGATGTGTGTAGTGGTGGTGCATACCTATGCCAGCACTTGGGAGGCAGAGGCAGGCAAATCTCTGTAAGTTCAAGGCCAGACTGTTTTACATAGTGAGTTCCAGACAGCCTGAACTACATAGTAAGATCCAGTTGGAGAAAAAAAAAAAAAAGTTGTGTATTTATCTGCTTCCCTATCTAACCCAGATATTGCTGGAAAGCAAGTTAATCTGCTTTATATTTGTGCTCTGAACAGAACACATCCTTAGGAGTATCTGTGGAAGGAGGGGAAGGAGAAGGAAAGGGAATTCCCACTTAACTGTGTCTGTCCCGAAGTTTGAACCTTAACCTTTGCTGTTATGCCAATAGAGGGCTGAAGGGAGACTAGAGACAAGCAGAAATCCCAAGTCGCTGCTGTGGGAAGCTGCTGAACACAAAGCTGGGCTGCTTCCACCCTGGGAGCGCAGGTTAGAGTTGAGGGAGTCCCCTGGTGAGGGGGAGCAGAAAGAACTTTGACACTGTAGTAACTCTTGCACTGCATCTTTGAGGAAATGACTCAGTCCAGGCAGGGACATGACACAGACCTAAACTGAAAAACCCCAGATCTGAATACAGTGTGTGTGGTCATCATGTCAAAGACTGCAAGTCAGACTCGATGACCACATAACTAAAGTGCATAAAATGCGGCTCCTAGCAGAGGAGGAGGAGGCTGGAGCCTACAGGGACACACCTCCTGCCTGGTGATTTGATAGGCAGGGCTGCCCTGCATTTGGTGATAAGTTTCAAAAGGTGTGAGGTTTTATTGTTTCCTCTACAGAAATCTAATCTCTTTTGATAAACTGTAGCTGCTTTGTTATTTAGAAAGAAAAGATCTTTAAAAACATAGGTGGAAAGACTAATAAATGATGGGCCAGCCATCTACAGGCACATGCACTTCAATTACCTTGGTCTCCTTAACATCACTAACCTTGACATCTTGCTAAAATGTAAAGAACATATTTATGGTATGTGTATGTATGTAGTGGCTGAGGGGTATATACACATATGTGGGGGTCAGAAGTTTGGGGAGTTGAGGATCTCCCTCTCCCATGTGGGTCCCAGGAACTGAACTCAGGGCATCAAGCTTGATGGCAGGCATTTTTACCTGATATCTTAGTCACTGTTTTATTGCTGTGAAGAAACATCATGACCAAGGCAACTGTTATAAAAGAAAGCATTTAATTGGGGGCTTGCTTACAGTTTTAGAAGTTTAGCCCATTATCATCGTGGCAGGAAGCATGGCAGCATACAGGCAGACATGGTACCGGGGCAGTAGTTGAAAGCTACATCCTGATATGCAGGCAGAGAGAAAGAGAAACACTGGGATTGGCGTGGGCTTTTGAAACCCCAAAGCCCACCTCCAGACACACTTTCTCCAGCAAGGCCATAGCTCCTAATCCTATCAAATAATGCCACTCCCTGATGACTAAGCGTTCATATATATGAGCCTATGGGGACCACTCTTACTCAATTCCCCACACCCACTGAGCCATGTCACTAGCCCCATACTCTCAATTCTCCATAACTAAAACTTCTTCATATCTTGGGCAATCATAAATATTAGCTCAAGCCAATATTATGTAATCTCAAATTCTAAACTCAATGGATCTTCATTAATGAAATTTTGCCCTGTTAATAAACCTTACTAATCAAACCTATTTTATTTTTATTTTCTCTTTTTTTTCTGTAAAATTATGTGTGTATGGGTAGGTATTTTGTCAAACAGCAACATAGTACCCATTGTGACTGCTGAGAGGGAGTGAGTAAATAGTTATTATACACAAGAAGTACTTCTTCCTCTATGAGTTGAGATACCAGATCTTGAAGAAAAGCCAGTATTAGTGTCCAAACTCCTGGCCATGTGGGGCAAGAAGTGACTGTTCTACCTTTGGCTTCCCTTGGCTATGAGCAGAATCCAAATAAAAGATGAGAATAAAGGCTCAGAATTCCTGTTCCCTGCAAATGCAGACCCCTAAATCTACCCCTAAGAAGCCTCCACTAACCTTCAGATGGATCTCTACTCTCCAAAGCCCTGTAACTCTTGACTTTTTTGCTGGAACCAGCCATTGGTAGCACTAATACACCTGCAACATGCAGGTCTGTTTGGAAATATTTTATTTATTTTTTGTTTTGTTTTTCAAGACAGGATCTCTCTGGGTAGCTCTGGATGTCCTGGAACTCACTCTGTGGACCAGGCTGGCCTTGAACTCACAGAGATTCACCTGGCTCTGCCTCCTGAGTGCTGGGATTAAAGGCGTGTGTCACCACCATAACCAAAACTTTATAACAAAGAAGGATGACTTGGCTGTGGAGTAAGAAAAGAGCTGATGGTAAAACCTCCTCCCTTATTTTCAGATGGCTAAAATCTGATTTGCCTAGCCATCTGATCCAGAATGGTAGCCAAAGGCATGATCTAAAAGCAGTCGGTATGCTTCTCCAGCCTAGCTGGAATCAGACTGGGCATTCTCCCTCAGGTTTGCCACTCATTCACACTGACCTTGACCAAGCCCTTGGATCTCTCTCAGTAACAGCATCCTCATCCATAAAACAGAGAAGGGTGAACTGTCTCCAAGGTCTTTTCCAGTTAAAATCTGGAATTTGGTATAATGTGTTTTCTCCCAAAGTACAATTTATAATCTTATTTATATGAAACATAAACTTAGACTAGATCAAGACCAGATGGGTCAAGTACATTTCTGATAACAGGAAAACAGCAGGGTCATAAACAAACAAAAAACCTCTCCATAGCAGAGGACAGACTCTGATGTTGCCTTGCATCATATAAACATTATGAAAGGTCCTTGATTGCTTAGGCCTTACTGGGGATGGGTCTGGAAAGATGGCTCAGTGGTTAAGAGCATAGCACTCTCACAAAGGATCCAAGTTCAGTTCCCAGCACCCATATCAGGAGGCTTACAACCACCTGTAACTCTGGCTTCAGGAAATCCAACTGCTGGCTTCCACAGGCACCGGAACTCATATGGTATTTACTCACACATACATACACATCACTAAAAATAAAATGTATATTTGGAACATTTTCCTTTTCTTGCCCAACATTTTTACATTTATTTGTTTGTTTGGTGTGTGTGTGTGTGTGTGTGTGTGTGTGTGTGTGTGTACAACTTAGGAAAGTTGGTTCTTTCCTTCTAGTGCTGGAGGCAGAGGCAGGTGGATCTCTGTGAATTCGAGGCCAGCCTCTTCTACGAAGCTAGTTCAAGGACAGCCAGGGCTATTACAGAGAGAAACCCTGTCAAAACAAAACAAAACAAACAAACGAACAACAACAACAAAAACAGAAAATAAATGCTCACACAATGCCTATTCAAACAAAAATTCACCATCTCTGGGTACAAAAAAACACCCATCAGGGACGTGGTCTCCATTGAGTTTGCTTGTTCCCCAGGCATGAGGATGATGTTCAGCACTTCAAAGTCATGCGAGACAACAAGGGCAATTACTTCCTATGGACTGAGAAGTTCCCATCCCTAAATAAGCTGGTGGACTACTACAGGACAACTTCCATCTCCAAACAGAAGCAGATCTTCCTTCGGGATGGAACCAGAGAAGATCAGGTATGCCTCGGTCCAGATAAACTCCAGGCCAGGGATTTCAATAGCCCGAATTCCTGTGTCAACCATCCCCCTAAAATATGGTATTCTGATCCAAAGTCAAATCTCAGGTTTAATCCAAGCTGAACATTTCCTAGCTGTGTGGCTTTGGAAGGCTCTCAGATCCTGTCTCTTCATTCCTTAAGACAGCATAAAAAGTGGCTTGTGAGTGTAAGATAATCTAATGTCCCCTGATCTTTTCCATGACTTCTAATCACACAGCAAATGTACTATAAATGTTAGCTCACATTGAAGCTGTTGTTCGATTATTTGTTGATCTTACATCATTGTTTCAGCCCAGCTCAGGAGCACCTCAAGGATCAGGGTGACAGACAGCAGTAGTAGAGAGTGGCCTAGGGGCTAGGACTAAAGCACCAGGCAGTTTCCTGGTGGCCTTGGGGAGTATAGGGATTGCATGGGTTTAATCCCATTTCATTACTAACTACCTATGTCACCTAGTCAAGTCCTGAACTCTTTCCAAGGCCTGTAGATGTGGCTCAAGAGTTAAGCACACTTGCCACTTTTCCAGGGGCCTCACAACCACTAGCAAGTCTAGGTTCCGTGGATCTGATGCCCTCTTCAGGCCTCCGTGGGCACCTGCACATACATGGCATATCTGTACACAGGCATATAACCCCAATAAAATACCCTTTTTTTCCCAAAGAGCATTTTACGAAACTGGGTGTGGTAACACATGATTGTACCTAGCATTTGGGAGGTAGAAGCAGGAGGATTGCAAGTTCAAGGCCAGTGTGGGCTACATAGCAACTGCCAGGATAGCTAGGGAAAGTAAGACACTGCCCCCCCCCTGCAAACACACACACACACACACACATACACACACACACACACACACACAAGATTCTTTCTAGATATGTGTTTTCTCATCTTATCATGGAAAGCACAATAGTCACTCCATCACTGGGCCTTTGTGAAGACTGAGTATGAGTATCTGAGTATGGCACAGCCATGGTCCTCGCCACAGAATCTGGTCCGTAGCAAGCAAGCACCGAAGAAGTGGTAATCAGCCTCCCATAAGGGCTCCACACACATGCATGCACATGTGTACACATACAAAGTACAGACTATCTCTCGGGAAAAAGAACATGGTTGTAAGAGATAGCTGTAATAAACTGGGGGGGGGGGATGGTGGCACATGCCTTTGGTTCCAGCACACAGGAGGCAGAGGCAGGCAGATCTCTGTGAGTTCAAGGCCAGCTTGGTCTACAGAGTGAATTCCAGGACAGCCAGGGCTGTCTTGAAACCTTGTCTTAAGAGTCTTAAGAGAGAGAAAGAGAGACAGAGAGACATAGACAGAGACAGAGATGTAATAATGGAAGAAGCCTCCACTAGCGTGGCTGGAACTCCAGGGACAGGTGATTGAAAAGAACACATGTGCTTTGAGGAAGTCAACCTGCCCTTCTAAGCCACCAGCTGTTTTCAAGGCTGAGATGCTACCGTCATCAGCGGGGAAGGTGTTCCCACCCAGAGCACACAGAAGTTCAGAAAACAAAGGTCAACCGAGATCTTGTGGACTATTTTAACCAGGAAATGGACAGAAGTATTAACTCAGTAGGATTTGGGGCTCAGAGATAAGAGAGGCAGTATAAAGTTTTCGTTAAACTGGATTAAATGAGTTAATATTTGTACAGTGCTAGCATATACTGAACCCAAGTGTCCATGTAATTGTTTGTTAAATAAAAAAAATATTATTTCTGATTCATGAGCTGTTGCAATGTCCTTCCTGATACATGGAGCACCAGGCCTGTTTTCCATACCTCTGCTAGAATGTTGTCACCAGGCTGCAAATGACAGCTCCAGACTATACAAAGTCAAAAGTAGAGCTATCTGGAGGGTAGGGTGTTCAGCAATTCGGCAACATGTGGATTATTTATCTTTTAGACAAATAACTGAGAACCACAGATCTCCATTGACCTTTGTTTTCTTTCCTGCGCCTCTGTGTGCTCTGGGTGGGAACACCCTTCCTCTCTGATGATTGTAGCTTCCCAACCTTGAAAACAGCTGGTGGTATGGAAGGGAGGGTTGACTTTCCCAAAAACACACAGGTCCTTTTCAAATAACCTGACCTTTCTGCCTATAAAATAGAATATTTAAGCCTGATTACAGAAAAAAAAAAAAAAAAACAGTAGGAACGGATTGACTGGAGACTACATGGAAATGGCTATATTGTCAATCATATGCTTGAACTCACAAACTAGAGAAGACTTGAGAATGCAGAGACCACTTTTTATAATGTGGAGGTCCAAATCTTAGATTTCCTTTAAGCCCTACCACCACTACACAGTTACTACCAGAAGAGAGGCAAGAACAGGGAGGCCTAGGAGAAGGATGAATCTGGATCCCCTGTTTTCTTTCTCAGAGTCGCCGGGGCAACAGCCTGGACAGGAGGTTCCAGGGAGGCCCTCACCCAAGTGGAAATGTAGGAGAAGAAGCCCGACCTTTGATGAACCGGAAGCTGTCAGACAACCCTCCTCCCCATCCCCAACAGTACCACCAGCACCAGCAGCCACCTCCTCAGTTTCCACCTGGGCCACAGCCCCCTCTGCAGCGGTATCTGCAGCACCACCATTTTCACCAGGTATCTGAAGAGAAGGAAGGGACAGGGCAAGGAGGGATGGAGGACCTGCCTGCCCCATGGCCCAGGCCTGGGCAAGCCTCCTGGAAGACTCTGGGCCCCAAGATAAAAATTGCCCACAAACTATACAGCTCCCAGACTGAACACAGACACAGACACACACGCGCGCACACATACACACACACACACACACACACACACACACACACACACACACACACACACCACCCTGAAGATTAATTCTTCTGTCAGCAGAATTCCAATTCTTACCCCTTATCCTGTAAAAAGAAAAATGGATTAGCACCTACAACTACCTTGTTTATTTAGACCTGCCTGTTCCAGATGGCATTGCAGCTGGCTCATGGGAATGGACAGTACAATAAGACAACATTGTTTCTACATTCCTCCACAAGCACAGGGTCCTTTGTGAGGTACCTGTGTCTACTTCCATATCCTGCTACCAACAACCATTACCATGCAAACACATAATCCAGGAACTGGCACCACATGTCTCTCTTTCTCTCTCTTAACTTTTTATAAGCTATTCTGTCTGCCTGATGGATCTTTCCTGGTCAGTCCCACTCCTCCTTCAAGCTGGAACCCAGGCATCCCCTCTTTCAGACTCCTTTCCTGATCTACCTAGGCATGCCTGGATGCTTTTCCATCCATGCACTTAGCACACTACTATATATGATTCTTCCTCTAAACTAGTAAATGTTTCTGATTTTTTTTAACTAGAAAAAGAACCATACTAGATGTGGTGGTACATGCCTACAACCCCAACATCTAGAAGATTGAGGCAGGTGGATTAAGAGCCCAACTCTAACCTGGGCTACATAGTGAATTCAAAGTCAGTGTGACCTACAAAGCAAGACCTTGTCTCAAAAGTAAAAGAAAAAAATGGGGTGGGGTAGAGAAATGATTTAAGGAGTAAAGTGTTTGCTAGGCAAACAATTGGACCTGAAGTCAGATTCCCAGCTTCCACATAAATGCAAGCATAGGGGAACACATCTTTAAACTCACTGCTGGAGGGGGTGGGTAGGAACAGCAGATCCCAGGAGCTCATTGGCCTGCCAGTCTAGCTGAGTCAGTGAGTCCCAGAGTCAGTAATGTCCCTTCCAGTGGATAGAGAGTAGACAGAGGAAACTGCCCAATGTCAACCTCAGGCCTCTACACTCACACACACACACACACACACACACACACACACAGACAATAATTGATTGCATCCCTGAGGCATAGGTACAAGACTTCCCCCCCAAAAAAACTATTTAATTAATTGGATAAACAAAGCCCATCATCTTTGCCTTTAGAATCTAAGATCCCTTCAGATTCCCTCCTGTCCATTTTCCAAGATGAAGGGTGATGGTCAGCGAGTTAGTTCTTGGGTGTGAGTTCTGTAGACAGCACCCAAGCAAGGCACATGGTTGGCGTAGGCTGGGAGAAACGCCCCTGCTGGTAATGTAACAGCCCTGTGTTACACACCTCTAGGACCGCCGTGGAGGCAGCCTGGACATAAATGATGGCCACTGTGGCATTGGCAGTGAGATGAATGCCACCCTGATGCACCGGAGACATACAGACCCTGTTCAACTCCAGGTGGCAGGGGTGAGTGAGCAGAAAGCACAAGGCAGCCTCTCTGGAGAGTTCAGCCTGGCTCATCCAGTCTGCTGTTTTCAGTCTGGCTGTTGAGCTTTGCCCTGTTCTCACTCTCCTGGCAGTGGGAGACGGGTGAGCTTTGTCCCTGTGACCCAGTGCACTTGGTCTCAGGACAGGCTCAGTGATAGGGCACTTTCCAAAACATGTGAGGCCCCAGCTTCCACAAAAGCAAACCAAGACCATATCAAGAACAAACCTGCTGAGTGTCCCAGTACCTTTGTGCCCAGGGCTGGGTATACTGATTTAAATTACTTTGAGACCAGCCTTTTGGAAGAACCCAGGGCAAGATAGATCTAGAAGCTCATGGTTTCCCGGTGTGACAGTTGCTCCAAAGACCAGCCTACCAAGAGTTCATCAGCATGCATGTCTCTTGTTTCTCCTCTAGCGAGTGCACTGGGCCCGGGCACTATTTGATTTTGAGGCTCTGGAGGAGGATGAGCTGGGATTCCGAAGTGGAGAGATAATTGAAGTCCTGGACAGCTCCAACCCGTCTTGGTGGACGGGCCGTCTACACAACAAACTGGGTCTCTTCCCTGCCAACCATGTGGCTCCCATGACACGATGAGCACTGCCAGGAAGCTAGAGGCTTTTTGTCCGAAACTACCTGCCAGATGGGGACAAGGGGAAAAAAGCTGGACTTTATAACTACACATGCATTCATATGATGTACATGTGTGTCCGTATGTACACAAAACATGTATATGTATGCCTGTATTTTCACACAACATTTTATAATAGTAATTTATTGGCAACTGGTTGGGTTTGTTCATTGACTGGCATGAGAAGGAACTCTGAAGAATGGGGTGCTTTTCTGGCACTTCTTTGTGTGAGAGGGCAGTAGGGAGCAAAGCAGGCAGGGAAATGGACTTCTCCCCATCCTTGAACTTTCACAACTTCTTTCCTGGCTTGGGACTTTTCCAAGAGAGCAAGCAGCTAAGCAGAGGTCACACCCCAGCGATGGATGCACAGGGCAGGGCTGGGCTTGGCGAGGCATGTTTAAGTAGCTCACTTGGCCCTGTCCACCTACAGGGTAGCTTCCCTCCTGTTCTCCATAGGGCAGGCACTGCACCCTGAGAATTAAAGTGTAGCAGATCCAGGGCCACAGGCACCAAGCAAGTCTGAGCAGGTAGCTGGCAAGGGTGTGGTCAAAAGTCTCAGCTTGGTATGGGAGAGTACTGCAAGCCTCAGGCCTAGGCAATGCCCAGCTAAAACTTTTACTTTCCATCAGTGACTGCCCATGTAGCAACCCTCTTCCCTTGTAGCTGAAAAGAGAGTGCTTCTAATGTGGAGACAACATAGAGCCAGGCACTAGGGAACACAGGGGTTCTCCACAGGCCCTCATGGCTTGCTTGAGTATAACTTCTGTTTTCCAAGCTGCAAAGAAAGCTGTAGCCTAGATTCTGCGAAGTGCTTGGAGAAGCCCTGGCTGAGAATGTGGGATGTGTCAGCAGCCTCGTCTTGTGGTTACAAGGGCTGTCTCTGTGGAGTATTCTTGGTTTTTGCTCCTGTTTTTCTGTGGTTGAGGGTGTCTTTGCCAGTGGACCAGAGGGAAACCAAGAGCATTGACTGCAGATCAATAAATAAATTGATTGATTGACTCTAACCCTGGACAGGAGTATCATGAGAAGGAGTTTCTTTTTCCATCTGCATGGTGCTCAGCGTCTTTTAGGCCTCCATCCACCTAGGAGGAGGAACCACACTGCCATTGTCCTTTTATTTCACCTTAAACTAGAGTTGTGTGTCCAGGTGCCCACCCTAGGAAATAAAGCACAGAGAAGGCTGACTGAGGGGCGGGACCCTGGAGAGGAAGCTTGGTGCCTTTGAGGAACCTGGGAGCAAACATGTCACAACAGAAGGCACTTACAAGGGTGTCAATGTAGTCACATGTACTGGAAAAGAAGTGCTGGGGTGAAAGTGATGGTGAGGGTATGTGTTGAGGGGCCCTGTCCCCTGTGTCCCCTCCTGCTTTAGGGAGGGACTGGAAGGCATCTGTTACTGAAGGCAATAAAAGAACAGTCTGACTCACAAGTCACTGCAGTGTGGCATACACTCTGTCCCTTGTGACTCTGATTCAACAGTTCTCTGATTCCCGGGTTCCCTTTAGAGAAAGAAAGGAAAAAAGAGACTAGGAGAGAAAATAGCTGTAAGGGCAGGGAAACAGAGCATGCACAAGGAGCAGCTGCAGCCTCAGGAAGGGAAAGCAGGGGAGGGGTCAGGAGCTGGGGAGCAGATAAATGGCAGAGGGGAGACAGGGATTAGGGGGTCAAAAGGGGCAGCTAGAGAAGGCATGGGCAGTTGGTGCAGAAGTGAGGCCCCTATTGCAGGTGGAAAAAGAGGCACCAGAACGGGGCAGAGAGCAGAGAAGGCCCCCGAGGAGGAAACGTAAAAATGGAAGTGAAGGCAAAGTGGGCCTGATCAGCAAGCTTGGTAGTGGGTGATGTGAAACATTACAGTAAATAAAAGCCAAAAGTGATGTTTGGTTTTACAGTATTTGCAAACCATATGCTTTAAACAGCCCACGAACTTCATCCATTTGGCTGATTCCGTAGGAGGAACAGCCCTGGCTGAGGCAGAGACAACTAGCTTGGTTCTGGTCTAGATACTATGCCTTGAAGCACTCTACAAGAAGACAGTAATAGCTTTTCCAGTCTGTATCTGGTGTCTGTGTGGCCAGCCCTAGGGGGTGGCAAGGGTACTACTAGGCCTGGAGAGACAGACCTCCTAAACCCCCTGGAATGGGCATCCTGTTCCAGCAACTATTGTGGGGGAAGGTAAGAGGAAATTATATTGAGGTGCATTGCTGTGCCCATTAGCAGGGCTGAGTTCAGAAGGGAACAGGGGAATCACCCAAACCACTCAGGGAGAACAGGGACTCATAGGGTCTAGACCAAGAAGATTAGGGTCAAATCTCTTTGGCCCCTGATGCTGCCTCCTGGGAGGTGTAAGAAGAGAAGGGCATTGAGGAGTCTTACCTCCATCCTTATCCCCTATCTACTTTCCACATGCCAGCTTCTCAGAGCCAAAGAGGTGTATCTACCTAGTGCTTCTCACAGGCTGCACAGCCACTGTCTCTGATTTTGGCTGCCACACCCTAGGTGACTTCGTGACAGCTGAACAGAGAGCTTCCAGAGAAAAGCCAGTTCCTGTCGAACCAGTTGTGGTTTCCTCCCCACTTACTGGAAATTACTTCATTTCAAATATCTAAAAGCTGCTGTGGCCCACTCACTTTTAGATGGTCTCAGGGTGATTTGAGGAAACACTTCTCAAAATCTCAAGAATTTGAGCGTTGTCTAGGGACCATTTTAAAATGTGGGTTCTGACTCAGTCTTACATCTTTAACAAGCTCCCAGGTGCTTTTATCAGCAAGGGCATCAGCCACAAATCTAATTGGATTCCTTTTCTGGGGCTCCTCAGTCACTGCTCTTTGTTGCTAGCGAATAAGTTACTTTGGCTTTTGGATAGGCACGACTCATTACTGTCATTATAACATCATTTCTGTTTGGCAGCCCGGTGACTTATTTTTGCATCTTTATCAGGAATCAGAAAATTTCCAGGTGACAGGCATTTGGCTGAGACTCGAACAGGAAATTCCCTAATAGAAACCACTTGAAACAAGAGCAGATGCTGTGGAAGGCACAGCCGCTTTCTCAGGAAATCCTTAAAGAGAAAATCAATGTCCATCACTTTGGGCTATGGGCAAGGCAGGGGCATCACTAAATCTCAGCTAACAGCCCACACAGGGAACAGACTGGCTGGTCAAAATAATTGCAAGACACTTTGTCTAGTTTCAATGTGTCTGTCTGTAAGACAGCAATGTGAGAAAAATATACCATGGCAATCATTTAAAACTATTTTTGTTATTGTTTTTCAAGTCCTTCCACTTCATCCCCCTCCATGGTATCCTTCTGTCTCCCATAGCAACTGCAATGTCCTCTGTACTTGTTGCTCTGTATTCCCTCCTATCCCTGGTATACTCTCCATACTGACACCAAGGCAGTCTCTGGACAAACAAAGCCAGGCACACCACTTTTTCCCCTCTTGATCCTGCAAGATCTCCTCTCTAACGTCCTCTTGTTTTCATGCACCTTCTTTACTGTCCTTATTTCAGCCTCCAGATAGCCAAGAACTGTTCCCAGGGTTTTCATAATTGTGCGTACCCTGAGGAATGCACAGCTTCTGTTTTGTGGCTGACTGCTATTCAGATCTGGGTTTGCATGTCACTTCCTCTCAACCCCCCCCCCATCTGAAATAATATAGCCCTTTAGATTACCTCATGAGTCCCACGCTTTTCCTGAACAGCATGCATACTGATGGGGACATTAGAGTGAGTGATGTGACTATTAGGCTGTCTGCTCCTTGGGGCAGGGATCATTGTGTTTTGTAGACCCTTGTACGCCCAGAATCTTACACTGTTCATGATACATTTGAAGGACTATCAATAAATATATGTCTAATGAATGATATTGTGTTCCTCCAAGGTTAAAACCTTCATTGTGGAGGAATAAAATGAGAAGAGGGAGGTGAAACACTCTCTCATAGGAAAGCTCATTAAGACAGGAAATAAACAACTCAAAATAGCTTCAGGAAGTCCCTGAAACCAACCAGATTAACTGGGCCCCTTTCTCCTCAATAGTATATAAGCAGTAAAGAGTGCCCAGATGCTTAGAAGAGGTTCAAACAAAGCAACCTGGATTAAGCAAAGACCAGTCAAGCAACCTGAAAAAAAAGCAGAGACCAGTTGAACTGCCTGGAGGAGATTCAGACCAATTGAGCCACCAGGAAGAACACTCCCCAACATGGTGAGCTGCCTGCAGGTTGTACAGTGAACTCTAGGTTTCCAGTTTTTCATAAGCTGTCACCCTTGCTGGGGTGGGCTTTGGTGATATAGCTATCTGTGAGTCATCTGCTCCTGTAAGTTACCCTACTCAAACTCCTGTAAGTAGCCTCAGTAAACTCATTGATTTATCACATTGGACTTTAGTGACATCCATACTTTGGCCTGTCACTGGCTCACTGGCTCTCTGCCTGGGGTGAGTAGACATTTCTTCATGTCTTCCCAGAAATAGTCACACAATGATGAACAAGTTCCAGCTGCCCCATCTCATCTTTCATTCATCCCATATTCCTCAAGCATTCCAGACCTAAGGTGTAAACAAGGGGATTTTTCTGTGATGTTCATGTGACTGAAGTTTTGCCACTGCCCTCAGATCCTCCCCTGGACATTTGTGGAGACCTGGTCTGTCTACTCATGTCCATTGTGTCACACACCCTCCACTCACTATGTTTTGGATCGGGCTAAGGAATCTGTCCCATGATCCGTGTGACAAGGAGAATGGGAGAGGGTGGGCTGGAGAAGGACCTGTGCCAATGCCAAAAATGTGCTACAGCTGAGTTCAGGGTCCCTCACAGCCTCCCATGATCTCTGTTTGTAGCTTCTCACTGGAACCCTCTTTCCATCAGATGAAATAGGAATGCCAGCTTTCCCCTCTCTCCAGGTTGTCTCCCCTCTCCTTGGTGCATGGTTCTTTTTCAGATGAAGAGAACTGCACTACACTGCTTTATTTGTGCAGTAAATAGCACATGGGAACTGATGCATGGCTCACAGTTCTATACTGGAGCTTGACTACAGTTAGGTCATTAAATCCGCAAGTGTTTACCTAGCACCTCTTAAGGGTCCGATAAGATCAGTCCCCACACATATCTCCCAGCTCTGTCCAACTCTGCTTATACCACAGCTACTGACTCATTTTCACTTCTTTCCCAGTGATAGCACTGGTCTCTGCTTTGTTCCCTCAATTCCTAGCCCACGTAGGACCCCTTTGATGGAGCCCCCAATGGCTGCCAAAAGGTCTTATGAACATGTAAAGCAGATGACATTAGGCTCTTATTCAAATCCTGCAGGGGCTCCCATAGCTCTCGGTTTCAAGTCCTTAGCATTCCACTCAAGGCATTTGGGATCTGCCTGCTGCATATTTGCTCAGTCACACAGCTTTCCTCACCTGAGCCTTTTCACTCAGCCCTACTGGGGTCCCAGAATGACTCATGCTGTCTCCTATCTCCAACTCACCCACCTTTAGCTTTTGCTTGGATTGCCTTTCTCCCAACTTTGTTGTTATTGTTTTTGTTTTTTAGACTAGAGTGATGTTAGTTTAGTTCTGCAACTGTTCTGTTCAGACCACTCTCCATGAGTAGCTATTAAGTACTTGATTATTACTTTTTTTTTTTCTTTTCTGATTCTCTGTGTAGCCCTGGCTATCCTAGAACTCACTTTGTAGACTGGTGCTGGACTGGATCTGCCTGCCTCTGCCTCCCAAATGCTGAGATTAAAGGTGTGCACCACCACCCAGCTTACATTTTTAAATTTTTATTTCATTGTCTGAAGAGTATCTCATGTAGCCCTGGTCAGCCTTGAGTTGGATATGTAGCAGAAGATGATCTTGAATTCTGATTCTCTATCTCTCAAGTGCTGGGATTATTTATACCCATGTGCCATCACATCCAGCCTGCAACTGAATACTTGACATGTGGCAAAAACAAGTGATTTGTATGTGGTTAGTGGCTACCTTACTAGCTAGCATGGGTCCAGACACTAATTCTTAGCTCAGAAT